GGCTGAAAGTTTGACGAAACACGAATACAACTAACGCTCTTTACAAGAAGCCCAATTAGTGCTCGCAAAAGCACATTTATTTCACACCCCTGAACTATATTTATATTCTAATGTCCCACCCCTTTATATGCCGCAGATTTATTTGACCAACTATTTCAGAAAAAGCAAAAGAATATATTAAGCACCAAAAGCACTTGCGATATTAAAAAAAAAAATTGAATCTTATTTAGCGCAATTATCGGGAATTTTATTTTGTGAAATCGGTGTCATCATATTTCTCCCATCTTCCCGCTGAAAAAAGGTGATTTTGTGGGGGTTGGAGTCAGCAGGTTGGGGTTAAAACTATGAAACTTTGTGTTGTTTTTGGCAACGATCTGCTTGATAGGTAGACGGGATGTGAGTCAATTAGTCGTCCGAAGATTTTGCCAGCCAGCCACGAACAAAAGAGAAGTTAATGTAAACGATTTAAAAAAGCACCCCTTTTTCAATAATAAAATCTCGAATTGTTAGTGAGCTTGAGTTTAAAAGTTGGACAAGGCTCAGCAGTTTCGGGAATGTGTTGTGCGAGACTAATATTCGAAGGAAAATAAAAACCCACGTGTAAATTGATTTACCAATATTCATGAGCTCCGCCAGGGCGACATTATATCCGTATTCGTGTTATATTTGGGCGCTCGTTAAATCGGGGTTACACTCTATAATACCGTATTTCCGGCGTATAAGACGAACTCTCGGCTTATAAGACGACCTCCCCCCCCCCACCCCAATAACCAATTTCTTCTTACGCGAGTGATTCCGACCCTTCCAGTAACAGTGGCACAAACAGGGACACTTGTGTAGGATGAGACCAAAGCCAGGTGACCATGGTGTCTGAGGAATAAATGAATCACAGCACTGCAGCTCGTTGTTTTACAACTGAAAGAAACACGACGTTCATTGTTTCATTGTCGATGGTTTGATTCATCGTTGGGACGTGCACCAACACCAAGTTTGGAAACAAGTATGTGTACATAGTAGCATTCAAGCGTCAAGGATAAAGGGTACTGTAATGTGGGGCTGCGTTCAAGCCGTGTGAAGTAAATAAATGGTAGAACAAGATACGTTTATGCTTGAGAAGGAAATATAAGACAATTGAACGGATGTTTCCGCCAGATGTTATTATTTTTATTATTATTATTAGCGGTCTTATGAAGCGCGGAACACCAAGCCCGGGGCTGGGCTCCCCACGCTGTATACACAAACATTAGCAAAAGAGACATAATCGTGACATTAAAATAACATACAATTATGTAATAAAATACAGGTGTATAACAACAAAACAAAACCAAATGTATATTCACCCCACCCGTCCCAGAACTTTTACAGGTAAGCCATGGACGGCAGCCAGCAGCATCGTTTATTGGTCAGAGTGGGGTGGGAATCAGTCGGGATGGTTGAGTTTAAAGAGATGTGTTTTGAGTGCAGTTTTGAAGGCTGTGATGGTCGGTATATTGCGGATGTGTAGTGGAAGGGAATTCCATTTTTTGGGGGGCCCGAAAAGAGAAAGATCGTTTACCTTATGTCTTATTCAGCAGACAACAGAACATAAGAAACATTAGATATTTTAAAATAAATATAGAAATAGTTTTTTTTATTAAAATTTTTAAAAGCATTATGTTTTTTTAAAATCTTAATCAAGTCAGTATAGCCTTATTTTTAGAACACGAAGGTTGAATGCAGACTTCTTTATAAAGTATCTAATAAATTTAATAGCTTAACTTAAAAATGAGATAATTTGCTGTTCGGTTTTTCGTTGTCATCCCCTCACTGGAATAATTGTACAAAACGCTTTCGGAAATTTGAGCTCATAAAGTAGTACAAAACAATGGTGTAGCTCGAGTTGATCACTTCCAGCAGCACCAGAAACGAGGCAGCTGCCAGGTAAACGTTTGCCAACCTGCCCCCAATGGAAAATTCAGGTTCGATGAAGGCGTACGCAGTAAATATGACGGAAGGGGTGTACAAAATGATCATGAAGACAGCGATGGTTATGATGACACTCATGATCTTCTTATCTTTACTGGACATCGCACAGGACTGATCGGAGTTTGAGACCGATTTATTCCGCCATACTGAATGAAGCTTGAGTTTTATGACTAATACTGCGGTTAATACACCGACGGCGACGAAAATGAAGATCATTTGTAAGCCGTACAGTAGGCTCGTCAGACCATTCAAATGTTGAACGTTTGCTTTTTGAATCAATCCCAGTAAAGTCCTGTTGGATCCTGGGTAGAACTTCCAATCGATGTACATACTCTTGTATTCTGGCAACAAAGTCAGGGCCGTCAGCGCGTAGATCGAGCAGATGATCAGGACCGACCTCGCCGGGCTGAGGAGTCGTTTGACTTTTAGCGGTGTGACGATACACAGGCATCGTTCAGCCGTGATGTAGACGGTGATCCACCCGGTGACTCGCGTGAAGCAGAGGTGGGGGACCCCCGCGGTCAGGTGCTGGAATTCAAACAGAACCAGCGGGATCCCCGACCCGGCGAACAGCGGGTTAAAGCAGATGTTGTACCATTGTACCAAGAGCAGACAGCCGAGGTCGGATAGCGCGAGTCCCGTGAGCGAAATGTTGACGGTGCTCTTCAGGCCTTCTTGATAAAAGACAACGATGTTGATGATGTTAGAAATGATACCAAAAAGAGCGACGGGAATGCAGAGTATTTCAAGATTGACGGTCTCGTATATCTGCATGAACTCGTAGCCTGTCATCGGGTTGGATATGTCGTGGGTTGCATTTTCATCATCCGAAGTGTGAAGCAGTCGGCTGCTGTTGAAGCCACCTTTCACGACGCCAAATGCATCTTGTTGTTCCATGTCTAGTTCATTAGTTATACAAACGCTCAAAAATAATCTCACAGGAAGGAAAGATGATTGATACATTTATTTCATGAAGTTGTCTGTCACCCATTATTTTATTCAAAGCTGCTGCACGTATGCTTATTTATTTTGATTACGAATATTTTGTTAGACAAAAATACTCAACTACCTGAAATATTTCATTTGGTTTGAACTTGAAAATATTTATTTTACATTTTTTTTTTAAAATCTTTAAATGAGATGTAATGAAAGGTAAGATTGTTTAGTTCACGTGGTAAAGAGATACTTGTAGACGTCAATTTGAGACGACAAGATTGAAGCCAAATAATTAATTACATTTTTTTTAACCCATATTGATAAGCGTCTCTACTTGGTACAGCCTCAAATGGGAATTGTTACTTTTCCTTTGTGATCCTAGTGGTGAACCTTTGGTGCATTCGGAGACGTGCTGTTGGTTCGCGTCTTCATCTGTATGTAAACGTATTCCTTTAAGGGTCAATTATCCACCGTTATTTATATTTACTCGTGTCATAAATAATAACGCTTAAAAAAGTTCGTTATATACGACAGTAACATTAAAGAAAATCCGAGATATCTTTGCAATACATTTTTTTTTCAAAATGGTTAGTGGTTGCACGACTTGATAACATAATCGATAATTTCATAGGAAGTTTGCTACCAGCTTGATGTGACTCGTGACGGTGAATTCTCGGATAACGCTAATTATATTGACGACCCAAAATTAAACTGCAAGCGATTGCATCCCATCAAATTGGTAAAAGATACTATTTGTTTTCGGTTAGTATAGTTTACTACAGCTTTAATAGTGAAGAACGAAAACTTAATTTAATAAAATTACACGACTGCGATGTTTCGATTATAAGATAAGTTGCTTCTACAGGCATTTGGCGATGGACGGTTGACAATTTAGTCTGAAACTGATATTTAAATACAACTAGACACAGGAGTGATTGCTACGGTGCACATTGTGACATTGGTTTAACTTGAACTTCAGCGAGACCTTTAGGGAGCACACAAAAAAAAAACTATTTAAAAAAAAAAAATGAGAAAAATTTCCGTTAATCGATAGCTAAAAGATAATTTTGTAAAACGAACGCTAAAATTGTAGGTATGCAAAATGTGACAGTTGTAATAGAAATATGTCACACGATTAAAATAGACTTTGTGGCTAATGATAAGAGGGCTGGGCTGAGATAAAGCTTTGAATTAGATTAATGAGACACATTTTGTATAAATAAAACAATATATGTTAAGTTTAATTTGTGATGACACATCTAAGAATGCGTTTGATAGAATACAAATGGAAAACATTTATTAAAAAAAAATGTGTGCGTTGACCCCCTGCCCTATAAACCCAATTCACATCTTTAAACATATGAGATGTATTTTTCCTGTTTGAATTTTCTGTTGTACTTCCCTTCACTTCGAGCTTTGTTTTCGTTAGGGACTTGTCCTCTAATTTTGATCTTTTCTTCCATTGCTAGGTAAAGGTAGTATATACATATATTATGTAGATTTAAATGATAATTATATGAACTTAGTTTGGCTATACTGTTGAAGGCATTTGCCAGAACGTTTGAATTTGTATGGCTGAGTGCACTTGAGCAAAGTTTAACATATAATGTTTGAGTTGCACAGAGTGTTCATTACAGAAATAAATGAGCTACGCTGGCTCGAACCTCCGGGTAATGTTTAAATGGGTAGAGTAACTAGCAGCTGAAGTAACTTGTGAAATACCCACAAGATAAGCCAGCAGTCTACAGCCTTGCTCGTGAAGGATGTTTTCAAACAGTGTGTGTGTTACTTTGCGGTGGCAGGTCCCAAATTAAAAAAAAACCCCGTAGTTGTTTGACGTTTAAAAATAGTTTGCTAATAGTCAATTCATTTTCAAGTGTGTTATTTAAACAAAACAATTATTGTAACTATATCGCCCACAAAAATGAATACTCATAGAGTCGCTACTGAAACGTTGAGCCAGAGCATTAATAGAATGACTTGAGACATTTCGTTGGACCAAAAAAAACAACAACAAAACAAACAGCATCACTTGTGATGAACACAACATTATGACCATCTGTCAAGTCTATCCTATTTGTCTCCATTAATATGTTTAGGTCTTTAAACACATAACGTTAACTCGTAAAGACTTACATCGATCAAACATGACGTCTATACTTAAGTTTGATGTCGTACTTCCGGCTGCAACAAGATGGCGGAGAAAAAAATTCAAAAGAACACAAAAGGAAGAAAACATGGATTTTACAAGAAAATAATTGTATGAAAAAGTTCTTTCTTTGGAATATATGCTTAAGAATCTGTACAGGATCAGAATCTTTGTTTCGGATACGTAATTTTTCTCTCAACAACATTTCGTTAACAAAATCTCCATTGTCACTATACAAAGGATAACTTCCGGCTACAACAAGATGGCGGTATAATAATACACAAAAGGAAGGAATCTCAGTGTGTAGGCGCTTCAGTAAAGCAAGGGGGATAGTTAAAGATGATTATTGGAAATTGTCTTCGGCGCAAGAAAATTCGAACTTTTAATTAACTTTAATTGTTTTGCGGTTTCATTCAGGGTCAGAATGTATGCTGTTATCAACGTATTTCTCCATCTAAATACAACTACAATATAGATCTACTGTTAGGCTTAATAGAAAGAAGCCATCTTGTTCGGAAACAGAATGAAGTCTCTGTACTCAGCTCTCATCTATGGTTTCAAGAAACTGTAACATGCACAGCGACCACAACCCAGACAACGATTCCAGTTTTAGGATAGCCGAAAGGCATAGACCTTTCGGAAAAAAGGGGTTGTCCCCCATAGCATGTAAAGACTGAATCCGGCAAATTGTGCGGAAGAACCACTACTTGGTCAACGGACAAAAGGCGGAGACAGCACAGTGGTGTGAATCGCTGAGAGCATGGCCAGACACGTAGAACGCCATGGTCATTCACTGCATGAATGACTGGGTGGCCGAATGGTCTAAACTGAGCAAACCTCAATTCCAGCCAAAGGCCGGTCAAGCAAAAACATCACCCGGGTGGATGAGACTCGTTAACCTTGGTCGGCATCTCATCTAAGAGAAGGAAACTCTGAATTCAAACCCTGAGTTGGAGTCCCGTGAGGCGCATACAATGACAATTCCTGCAACCGTACCCATTCCTGGTCGTCTTTATGTAGAGTCTTGCCACTGGATATGTGTGGGTCCGGACGAGAGAGCAAGGTTGACGCCGCGCAACTCTTCCTCACTTTAAACAAAAGTCACTAGCGCAAGTCATCAGTCACCGGACGACTCGATGGTCATCGTCGATCATCGACGGACGAACAACAAGTTGAATAAAATTTAAAATTACTTCCTCAAATACCCCTTAGTAACATGGCATTGCAAATATTTGATGCTTCAAACGCATGAACATCAATAATAAAAAATAAACAAATTAAGTGGCTCAACCCTTGAAATCCAACAGTGTTAATCTGCCAATTTAAAAAAAAAAAACATTTTTGTGGCAATGTCCGAGGGATTTATTTGCCTATTCCTCAGGCCCCAATCTGTGGGACTAGGTCTCATTTGGGTCTTACTGGGGTTTCGTGTTCCCCGCGCTGTTCAGCTTTTTTCTTTTATGGGAAGTTGGTATGGTGGCACTTTAGAGATGAGAACCAAGCCATGCCCCCCCCCCCCCAACTCCAACGAGCCTGTCAATTTTTTTTTCAAGGAATAATGTTATACTCTGTGCTTGCGTCTCAGTGCGTCGTTGGATATTCCCATTGACTAGAAAATTGTACGCACGATTCTTATTGCAGGCGTTATCTCAGGTATTATAAGTTATCCCATCTGAAAACGTTTGTTAAATGGTGCTGTAGTTCGTCGTAGTAAAATGGGGGGCACTAGCCTTACGTTAATAGCGTGTATATCCCACCACCTCTTGTAAACACACATAACAAAAGGGTTAAGCCTGGCAACGAGACATGATAACCTACAGGAATGTCATACAAAGTCTGTCTATGTCTGGGATAAAACTCCTCTACCGTTTGTCCTCTTTCACTGCCTATTTCAAGGTAATACTGTTACTGTTATTCTCATGGTCATACTTCGCTTTTCATTTCATTCAGTGATGTAACATCATGTTAGGATCAGTATCAAATGAGAGGCTCTGAAATTCTGTAAGCTAATGGCCAAATAATGTCGGAAATAAATCAAGCGGTTTTTGTTGTTCGTCCTTCACACGCGGAGATGACCATGGTGAGTAGGACAGTGGCCTGCCAGGTCCTTCATCTGTGTGGAAAGGCTTTCCCGCACCTTACCTAGAGGATACAGCCCTGACATGGCTCAAGTTTGATTCAAGTGTGGTAGGGCTGTGCAATGCGTCAACAGCACCCTCTCGCCCTTGCCTACCTTGATCCAGTGGCCAGACGCAGCCGAGACTGCTGGAAATAGACCAGGATGCAGTGGAGCAGTGGATGATCAGCAGTGGGTTCTGTGTGTCTCACTGCGCTCTTTAGGCGCCCCCACGTCACGTTTGGTGTAACTGCTCTCACACCCGGTGAATCACTTCTGCGTGGCCCACCAGGTCCACTCTTCAATGCGAGGCAGACCCGTCCTCAGAGTTTTACCCAAGAAACCGGGTCGGCACGACGGTTCCAGGATTATAAAATTATTTGGGTATGATGTCGGGGTAAGGAGCTGTTAATTTCGTGTTATCATTCTACATTCCCTGAGTGAATTATGCTTCAAAAGATTTTTAACCAAAATCATAACGTATGTCAAGCGGTTACGCAGGCACAGCAATCCATTGGGTCTTTAAAAAAATATGACCTAAATAATTCGCTACTCTCAAAATAAATACACCCCGTTCTTCTCCCCCTACCTAACACCACAACCGCCGATCGAGAACAATCGAGCGAGGATCTTTAGTCTAATGGTCTCCTCCACGACAATCAGTTAATTACATGGCCGCCACTGATCCATGTTGCGCTACAATGAAACACGGGCGTCCGTGAAGCACTCTATTAGCAGATGAGGTTTCGCAGTTGTTGATTCAGCGAAGGACGTAAAATATTTATCGAGTGTGACCGGGGTTAATGAGGCGCGAGTCGAGGTCGACCACTGGCTGGCGTGACCGCCGGCCGGTCAATTCGTCGGCGTGGTGACGAGAGTCGGCTGCAATTACGGCGGCTCATTTCATGTCGTTTTGAAGAGTGTAATTAAGTTGTTAATTGTTATAAAAAAAGGTCAAGAGGTCAATGAACTTTGAAAGAATAATATTGGAAAAAAATGTCTGTGTTATTAGTTATGCACTACATACATGATTGATAAATATAATAATGTTAATAGGAATTGGAAGTATATATGAATTGATGATCTAGAGACAGAACGATGTGTCTTTAAACCAAAAGGGGACCCAAACACTGTTTCTTTTATCGCTTACAGCAAACCCCGCGGCACTCCTGTCACATCAGCTAACTCCGTGACACGCCTGACACTGCAGCTAACTCCCTGGCACTCCTGTCACTACAGAAAACCCCGCGACACTTCTGTCACATCAGCTAACTCCCGTGACACGCCTGTCACTACAGCTAACTCCCTGGCACTCCTGTCACAACAGCAAACTCCGTGACACTCCTGTCACTACAGAAAACCCCCTGGCACACTTTTCACTACAGCAAACCCCATGGCACTCCTTTCACTACAGCAAACCTCACGGCACTCCTGTCACTACAGCTAACTCCGTGACATTCCTGTCACTACAGCAAACCCCGCGGAACTCCTGTCACTACAGCAAACTCCGCGGCACTCCTGTGACTACAGCAAACCCCTGTCACCAATGCATTCACTTACAACAAAAGACATAGTGGTGGTACCAACCTATTTTTGTTCATAACTAGTCGGCTGCCTGGTTAGCAAAATCTTTGGACGGCTAATTGACCTACGTCTCCCGTCAACCTATCGAGCTGAAACTAAGCCCAAAGACTCGTTGCCAATGACAACACATTACATCAGCCTTTCAGCCCCGAACCCCAATAATCAGTTTTTTCTGGGGGGGGGGGGGGGGGGGGGNGGGGGGGGGGGGGGGTGGGGGTGGGTTTCAAGTGAAGAGGAAAGAAATAAGTGCCTTTGGTGCGAAATAGTTTCTTTGCTCAACTGAAAGATGTGGTAAAAAAAAAATCGGCGTTGTAAACTGGTATGGGCCATTATAATATTAATATAGTTCAGGGGCGTGAAAAATGTGCGATTGCGAGCTTTTGGAGGGGGGGGGGGCAAATAATTGGGTTTCTTATAAGGGGCGTAACTTATATGCATGTTTTGTCAAATTTTCAGCCGCACCCCATTGCATGCTCCATTTTATAAAATGATTGATGCGAAGTTAGTTTTTAGGAGCTGTTTAATAATTCAATCCTTTAAATTAACTTCGCTTTTGTTCGCGCCTGGCTGGCAAAATCTTCAGACGGCTAATGGACCCACTTCCCGTCTACCGATTGAGCTAAAAATTTGGGACTTAGACTGGGTGCGTACGAAAACACATTCTACCCAAATTTCAGCTGCACACTCAAACACAAGCCACAAAAACCAATTTGTCCTGTTTTTTTTTCGGGGGG